CCAAAAAAATACGTCAATACCTCAGTCACTGTGCAGTCACCCAAGGCCGCTGCAGGCTTGCTGTCATGCAAGCTGGGGTAGCACAAGGAGTCAATGGAGGCAAAAATTCCCCAGGACAGGAAAATGAACTATTAAATTCCCTCACTTTTAATATTCTTTATCTCCTATCAGAGGTGGCTGTGAGGCCATACTAGAATCAGGACCAGTGAGAGGCAGAAGTGGAAGGCTCTGCAGCAGCACTTTATGTTCACTTTTTTGTGTTATGACGGCATCCTTGAAGACACCTAAATGTGGAATTTTGCTGTGCTAGGTGATGTACTACTGTAGAGACAGCCCTTGCCCTGAAGAGCACCTAATTCTCTATTTATTTCTTCCACTTGGGTCACATACGTCTTTGCTTTCAAAACTCCCCATTCTGCTTGGACACCTTTTGTTCTCTAGTGCAAATCACAGCTGCTTTTTTCCCCCCCTTTTCTCCTTGCTCCTGCTTTCTGTTCAGCTATATCTCATCGTCATCAAAACTAATTTAGTTAATTCTCCATTTTAAAACCAGATTGTGATGCCTGGTCCAGAGTTGCTTAGCAACAGCTACCCTCCACATGCAGATAACAGGCAGGCAGGGATGCCAATGTATGAGTCTGGCCCAGGAAAGTGAGAGAAAAAAAGGAGTGAGACACATTGTCGCGCCCTGGGCTTTGATGCTGTGCATCATACTGCTAGGCACTGGCACATATATTGGAGGGGCAGGGTTTGCTTTCATTCCCAGAAAGGGCTTCTGGAATAAAAAATACTGGCTCACCACAGGACAAGAGTAAAGCGTGCATGACAGAGTATGTTTTGGATGCACATATGCAGAACTAAAATAGTCTACTGTTAAGCATTAGGCATGGATTACAATTAATCAAATCCCAGCACTTCGACTTTACATAAGCCCAAAGTGTACCAAGAAGGAATGTGGATAACCTTATTACATGGAAATTAGGGGACTTAGTGCTGCTATCTCAAACCAGGAAGCCTGGCATTTTCAAGATGAATACATAGCATTTATGGTACAGATCCCTTCTATGACAAGACTGCCTTCCAAAAATGTAGAGGAAACTGTGGGAAGAAAACTTTGGAGGTTTTTGCCATCCTGTATATATATTTTTATGTGGGAATATACCTTGGCTCTCTGTTAAGAGAGTGTTTAAACCACATCTTTATGTGAAGATCAAGAAATACAAAAGATAAGACTCTGAGTGTGCAGCATCAACCACAAGCAATCAATGATGAAAAAAGATCCAGATTATCTTAAAAATCTCATTACTTCAAAAATAAAAAATCTAGAATATGAATTTAGGATTCGGATTATCTAGAGCTTGTGTGAAAATATTCTTTTAATTGAAGGCCAGAATAGTGAACCCATCTCTCCAGAAAGACTTATGAATAAACACTCAAGAGTAGTCGAGACACTAGTCTTCATGCCTTCTACATTACCTCAAGTTGCAAAGGATATATTTGGAGAAAAGCACAGCCAGCATTTTATTAAGCCTTGCAGGCCGTTGTAGATAAATTTAAGCTGGAGCTGCCTGCAGTGGCCTACCAATTATGCAGAGAGGAAAAAAGATTGCTTAAATCCAGACTTAACCCAGCTCATAATGATCAGAATAGATGTGCTGTCTGCTCCTCCCTTTCTTCACTCCTATCCTGCCCTTGCTGAGTCAGAACATCTGATCTAGGGACAAACTGGAAGTAGTTTCTTCAGCATCTTGTTTTCCCTCCACCTTCTATGTGCAAGAAATTCAACATACAGGAAAAGAGAAATATCAAGTGCATGTTTCCATCCTCTGTTCAACTACAACCTTTACTGAATTTCATAAACTGTAACAGCAGTAATGAATCTTCATACTTCAAGCTCTGCCCCAGTCCTGCCTTGTGCCCTTGTGGGAGCTCAGGACTAAAGGATTCAGTGCCTTGTCTACTGAGAGACAGAAAGGTCTGTTACAGATATCCCAAGACAGATAATTTGGTGACATACAGCTCTTCTTTATATTGCTATGTATTTATATAAATCTGAAATAAGACATTTATATAAAGATATAAATATGCAAACTGATGTCTTGAGGTAGCAAACCACCGGAAGTTATACTGACGCTTTGGGAATCACGGATATTCGGCATACACGAGACAGACATCACTTATTTGGGCATCTAAGAATGGGGTTCTATGCTTAGCTGTGATTAGACAGCAGTGAAGGGCTTGGTACAAGCACAAACATTTGACTGAGATTCTCCGTATTCTCTCTGCTGTTCTCTGCATTTTGCTGAATGCTGATTAACTCTTGGTCCCTCTCCATCAGTGCTGATGACTGCATTATTTGGAAGCCACTTATGGATGTATTTGATAAAGTGATTGTTTGTATCAAGTTGACATTATGTTATAGATGTGTCTGCTAAATTGCTGGTTTCATTTTCACTTATTATTAAAGACCAAATGCAGAACTCTGGATATGACAGTATAATCACATTCATTGATGCTAACTGGCATGAATGAATGACGGGTGGAGATCATCACTGATGAGGAAGAGAGCAGAGTTTTGCTCACCATACTCCACAGATCTGTGGATTTGCCCTGAGCAAATAACTTCATCTTTCATTATCTTCATTTCCCCAAGTGAAAATCCCTAACGTTCATAATTATGCATTTCTGTAAACCGCATTAAGGTCTCCAAATGACAGGACCAATGTAAATGCAAAGTATTGTTGTCACTGTCACTGTATTGCTAATTAGCATTTATCTGAATGGCTTCAAGAACTTTGCTTAATATTTATGACAGAGGTTTTTCAAAGCTTTTTTTCTTTAATAGCTTTCTATATATTTGTAATGAATATTAAAAAATTATTAACTATTGAAGAAGGTGTAAGAAACACACAAAAAGGCAATTCAGTAGCCAAAGTGATAATATGAGTTCATCAGGGCTCAACCCAGTCTTGAAATATTAACTCATATGCTGAATTATTCATTACCTTATTTTATGCATTAATTGAAAACTTGGCACTTTTGTAACTTGACTTCTTTGTGTACAGCAAACCAGGCAGGGATATGAGTGTCTTACAGTCTCTAAACAAGGAAATTTTCATAATGTGATGAAAGCGTCACTGAAGAATGACAAACCAGGTTGTAATTTAATTTCTTGCATACTCTTCATTTATTCACTTAACATTACTAGTGACTGTGCATGTTACAGATCTAAAATGTCATTAAATATTTTTCCCCACAGACTTTACATGTTTAATTAGAGCATCTTCAAAGTCATTAGCCATTCCTCAATACCAGTTGCATTCAATCTTTCCCATAACATGACCCTGTTTTCAAAGCATCTCCTTCCCACTGGTACAGAGAATATAATTTTTATGCCTGTTCAGAAAAACAGAATTCAACAACTTTGCACTGAATTGGCACAGGATTATTCACCTGCTTAAATTCCAGTCCAACCTGTGTGTTGCCTGAGGAGCCACAGATATTAAATGTAGAATCAAAATGCCCTTGCTGTTGCTAAGGGCAAAACTGCTATTGGGTCCCACTTACTGCAACAGAACAGAACAGCTGAAGACATTAAAAAGTTGCCAGGATAAGTTAAGGCCAGTTTCTTTGAAAATCTAATGAAGTTTCTAGAGTTTATAGCCTATTATAGTCTGTGCCTTCAGGACAGTCGAGATGGATTCCAGTTTGGAATGAAACTTAAGAAAAATGTGCTCAGTCTCAGAAGGTGTTTAAAGACTCAAAACACTTAGACCACAAACCAAACTTTCAGAATAGCCTGGACTACTTGTTCAATCATTTCTGTTTTTAACTACTGAAGACACACGCACATCTACCAAATAAAAGACATCTGTGTGAAAACAAGCAACCATATTTTACGTAGAAAAAAAAGCACCTTGTCAAGTAGGATCCATTAACAAAAAGTCTGAAATCCTGTGGAGCAGGCAATTTGCTTCTTGAGGACCAGAAAATATCCCCTGGTGTTCTTCTCACACATGGTTTTTCTTTTTTCCTTACCTAAGAGGGAGATTTTTGAGGCTATGGATCAGCTGTCAACATTACAATGATGTCACTCCACAGCAAACGTCATTCAACACAATCACTGCTGCAACTAAGATGCCTCAGTGTCTAGAGAAAGACTAGAAATTGGGTGAAATCAAACCCAAACAAAAGCTTTCTATTTGCAAGAGCAATTAAGATTGAAAGAAACCCTGTCCTCATTACTCCTTAAAGGCATTCCCTATTCATCAAAGTAACACAGGCATAAAGCCATGTTGAGTTCATCATTAGGCCTGGATGATGAAATTGTATCAGCATCTCACAGCACCTTCCTTTAGACCCAGGCCAGCTGGGAAGAGGTCCTGCCTTTCCTGCCAAGTACGCAGTCGTTGTCACCAGTAGAACTCCCACATGCCAGTTACTGCCAGCGCCAGCATCATGAGTTGGCCCTGGGAAGCCAACACAGTACTTGGCAGCCGTTGTTCTTCCTGTGCTTGCTAACACTGGGCGTTCACAGCTGCTCCCTAGTGCTGGTGCCTGAGCCGCTTTGCAGGCCTACGGCAACTTCTACGTCAGCGGCCCCAGGTACTTCTATGCCACCCAGCTACAAGCTTTCGGGCCAGGGCAAAAAACGGACACGTAGGCCGCTATTCTCCTCAGGAACTGCCGACCTTGCTTCTCTGCGGGGTCACTGCTCGCTGCCCGGCGGATGAAGGACGCAATCCCGACACACACCCGCTGCTCCCAGAGCTCCTCCACAACTCCGTCCGCCTTCGGGGCTGCGCCACCAACCCTCCAGACTCTCGACTGTCGGAGTCACGTGACGGCTATCGTGGCACGCGGAAGCGGAGAACGCCTCACACCACGCATGCGCCCTGCGTAGGGCCGCGCGGCGCCGGCTGTGAGGGGAGTTCTGCGACCGCTTCCGGGTTGGGTGGTGGCACCGGTGCCAGTACTGGTACCCGTACTGGCACCGATACCGGTAACGCCATGTCGTGCGCTCTAGTCCCCTTCGGCTCCTTCCAGGACTTAGAGGCGGCTCGCGCCTTCCTGTGCCCGCACCGCCGTCAGGGCAGCTCCGCAGCCGGCAAGGAGAGCGGTGAGTCCGCCCCGTGGTTCCGGGCAGCTGGAGTACGGCCTAGCCCGGTCTGATACGGGGTCTGTGTAGGCGGCAGTGTTGGGACTTTTCCCTGCGGCCCCCTTGGAGCTCCGTGGGGTGGGAGTTTCCACTGTCCCGCGGAGAGCAGCCCGGCGACGGGGGCCTGTCCCGGCGGGGCCGTGCGCCCCTGCCTGGTGGCCACAGCCGGGGGTGGCTCTGGGCTCGCTTGTTCCCGCTCTCCTCACCGTCCCTGTTCGCTCAAGGGTGTGCGGGGACGTGTAGGGGGTAACTGGGGGTAGCTGAGTGCCCGACATTGTTACTGTGATAAAGGGTGGATGTTCTGCCGTGGGTGCTGCATCTTCACCTAAAAGTTCAGGTTTTCCTGCTGTTTTGAAGTTTCAGGTGCTCGGTTGTTCTCCTATGTTGGTCCTTATTCTGTAGTGTGTAGGTAAAGGTCTTCGACTACAGACTCTGTGCATCACAGGGTAATTGTAAGACTTGTAATTTTGTTTGCTAGGAGAGTGAAATTGTTTTAAGATGACCTCATAAAGTTAACAAATGTGCATGCAGGGTTGTCTAATAATGCAAAATGTGCTTCAGATATACTAGGGATTTAGTTTGGCAGCTTAAATTAAAAGACAATAATTCTTACAGCAGCTGCAGTCTGAAGTTGTGGAGCAGATTTCTGTTGTGTGAGGCAATGCGTAGTGAAAGGTGAGCTGTCTGGCACAGAGGTGGTGTTCTCCACAGAGAAGTAGTACCAACAGATCCATGCCCAGGATAGACAGTACAGAGGAATGAAACACTGGTCTGTACATTGTTAGTGCTGTACTGTGTTAACTATATTTGGCTGATGTATTGGCTTTCTGACAACAGCATGGAAAGGAAGGCATTTGAAGAAGTTAGTGAGGATGCTTGTAAAGTCTGTCAGCTGTAAATAGAGCTATGAGAGAAAACAGCAAGGTCCTTGTTTTAAAAGATTAAAAGGTCTGTGGAGGAAGTAAAAGAGGGGGAGATCATAGAATGTTTGTGTTAGAAGAGGCCTTTAAAGTCCATCTAGTCCATGGGCAGGAGCACCTCCCCCTAGACCAGGCTCCTCAAAGCTGTCTCCAGCCTGGCCTTGAACACTTCCAAGGAGGGCACCTCCGCAACTTAACTGAGCAACCTGTTCCAGTTTCTCACCACCCTCATAGTGAAGAATTTCTTCCTAATATCTAATCTAAATCTACATTCTTCCAGTTTAAAGCCATTACCTTTTGTCCTATCACTGCATGCCTTTGTAAAAAGTCCCTCTACAGCTTTCTTCTAGGTCCCTTCCAGGAGCTGGAAGGCTGCAGTAAGGTCTCCTGGAGCCTTCTCTTCTCCAGGCTGAACAGCGCCAACTCTCTCAGCCTGTCCTCATAGGGGAGGTGTTCCAGCCCACTGGTCATCGTTGTGGCCCTCTTCTGGACCCGCTCCAGCAGCTTGATGTCCCTCTTATATTGAGGGCCCCAGAACTGGATGCAGTACTCCAGATGGGATCTCAAAAGAGCAGAGTAGATGGGGAGAATCGCCTCCCTCAACCTGCTGGTTGTGCTTCTTTTGATGCAGCCCAGGATACAGTTGGCCTTCTGGGCTGCAAGCACACATTACCAGCTCACGTTGAGCTTCTCATCAACCAGCACCTCCAAGTCCTTTTCCCCTGGGTTGTTACCAGTCAGTTCTCTGTCCAGCCTGTATTTATGCTTGGGATTGCCCCCAGATACAGGACCTTGTACTTGGCCTTGTTGAACTTAATACGATTTGTGCAGGCCCACCTCTCCAGCCTGTCCAGGTCCCTCTGGATGGCATCCCTTCCCTCCAGCATGTCAACCACACTGCATAGGTTGGTGTCGTCAGCAAACTTGCTGAGGGTAAACTCAAACTTGCTTTCAGTTTACAACTGTTGGCCCTTGTCCTGTCACTACAGGTGCTGGTAAAAATATGACACAATAATTGTGAAAAAGTATTAAAAGTACACTATATGTTCAACTAGTTAATGTTACCACTAAATCTTCTGTATATGTGTTGTTATATTTTATTACTGCTTTCTTTCTCTGTTCAGGATTTAATTTAATTTTCTTTATTGTTGAAAAGCACTTGGAAGAAAGTAATACTGGAAGAATTTTATACAGCCAGTCTTATTGTCTGAAACTTTTGGTAGAAAACATTTACTTGCTGCTATTTGTGCTTGTCATTTGACTCTAATAGTGCTCTGAAAAATGCATATAGATTCAATATAGCTTTTCTTTTGAGATCTGTATCTAAAGGAGGGATTCTGGAATTAGTAGGGTCCAGTTAGTGCCTCTTGAACACTGAAGATAAAAGCAAAAGCTTGTAATATGTTTGTGTTTCTAAAAGTATGTGCTGAAAGGGTTCCTGTTGTTCTCCTTGCTTGCATTATGTGATCGTGTGTTAAAATGGCCATTAATGCAATGCTGAAATAACTTACGAAATGTTCATAGATGGTTTGAGGTGACCATTGATGTGATCTAAAATGCGGCTACTTTTTTATTGTACGTGATGGAATAAAAGGTGTTGGGGTGGATCTTGCCTCATGTGGCTTAAATAAAAACAGTATTATGCAGTAAGCTGGTTAAAGATGTTTCATATGGAGTTCCCATTCCTTTATTTGCTAGGAGAAAAACAGTGTTTGAATGCTTTTTCATATCTAATGAACAGGACTAATAAAGCATGAGAATTTAAGATACTTGGGAAAAGTTAATGCTAATAATGAGGCATAAATCTTCTGTGGAGCCTGAGCCTAGTGGTATCTAAGTGGTTTTGAAAACTGCTTATTCAAATGTGCAAATACTGGTAATTGAAAGTATTTGCATTACATGTAATTTGACAGCATGCTGTGTTGAAGATGTTTTGGGATACTTGTTGGCTATTGTTAAACTCCTAGGTCTGTCTGTTCTTCCAGTAGACTGTGAGCTTGAACTCTGTTTTAAAACATTTGATAGGCTTGGTGATAGGAATTCAGTGACATAGTCAGGTAGGACTACTGCTCACTAAACTTTGTGGGTGTTAATGCGAAATAACACCAGTGCTTTTCTGGTGTGCAGATAGTTTTAGTTGCCAAATGTGTTTATCTCCCATTACCTAAATGAAATTAATAAGAAAATTACTAAAAAAAATAAAAACAAACCCAAACTTGTCCTTGGGAGTTCCCAAGCAATGATACCTGCATCTGTGATAGTAAGCTGGTCACTTCAGAGCGGTGCATGGCACAGCACACAGCTTTGAGATACTGCTGCTTAGTTGAGGGGAAAAAAACTTCAGCCCCCTGATCTGATGGGAGTGCATTGCTCAGAGCTATGAGGTGTCACTTTACTGCTTTTTATGGTAGGAATGATGGCTTAAGCCTGGCAGAGAAAATCTTCTCCAAAATCCAGCCCTGCTACATTGCCAGCATCCTGAAAAGTGCTTTTCAGACCAGTTCCTCTGAATAACATCTTTGGAGTTGTGCTTGCACGCTTTGCTTTATCTGCATCAACTAATTTAATTCGGAAATACAGAAGGCCAGGCTTTTTATTTCAGACTTGCAAACAAGGTTACAAAGAAAATAAAATTCTAGATTGCATTTAGCAGTAGGGTTCTTCTTAACTGCTTCTGTATCTCTCTTATTGAATTTGCTGTATGCCTGTTGAAGAGTCTTCTGACAAGCTCTTTTGTATTGCCTCTTTAATCAGATTCTCCCTCTCCAGATTGTGTTATGTTAATTTAAGATACCTTTCTTTCAGTTTTCACATAAAATATCATAAGAATGTAACATAACACAGATAGAATGCATATCTGTAGTTGTTAATGCATTGTGAGATATGGAGAAGACTAAATGATGTGCTCTTAACACACGACAGAATAGCGTCAGCACTTTGTTCAAGTTGTCACACTTGAGTGTTTTGCTGCTTTAGCACCTCCTTTACTGGATAGAATTCCTTCTTTATTGCTATAACTTAAGCTGTCACACCTGAAAGAAAGCTGAAATACTGTGTTTTGTATGTAATCCGTTTCATGTGTTTCCTGTGCTATATAACATCATAAAGTTGTGTGTGTATGTGTGTGTCCCCACCCTATGGTACCTCAAATTAGTGTTAAGTTGCAAATGTAAACCATGGAAATTTGCAGCATTACTTTGAAGAATCTAGTGTGTCTATTATTTTTAACTTAGTCGTCTTTTATTCTGTTGAAAGCAATTGTGACCACCTAAAGGAAATGGCTCGAGTGGTTTTTCTTCAGGTTAGCAAACTAACTTAGTTTGAGTGTCGTCATTTTTTTTTTTCCCAGTCATGGATGTCTGAAGTGATAAGAGAAAACAAATGTAATTCTAGTCTCAAAAGGGGCTTCCTAGTAATGTGCAAAACAATCTAATGTATTGGTCAATCCTCACGTTGGAAGAGCTTTGGAAATAAATTGTCTATGGTTACTGAACAGCAAGAAGATTGTAAACTATTTCTAATGTTCCCTGGCTTGAAGAGACAATAAACTGCTTCTATTTCTCCACTAATTATGTAATCTAATTGTATCAGAATTGCAGTAAATATACATAAGAAAAAATATGAAGCTCTTGCACTTAAGTAATAGTGCAAGAAATGATTGGTTATTAGTTTTATGAATGCTTAAAGCATGATTGGGAAACAAGCTGTAAGGTCATAAACCTAACAAGCTACACACATGCAATTAAGTGTTGTGGTTTAACTGTGGTAGGCAGCTAACATCACACAGCCACTTGTTTACTCCCCTGTAGAGTGGGATGGGGAAGAGAATTGGAAGGGTAAAGGTGAGAAAACTTGTGGACTTAGATAAAGACAGTTTAATAGGTAAAGCAAAAGCTGTGCGTGCAGTCAGAACAAAGAAGTCATTCACTACTTCCCATCAACAGACAGGTGTTCAGCCATCTCCAGGAAAGCAAGGCTTTGTCATGTGTAACAGCTGCCTGGGAAAGCAAATGCTATGATTCTGAAAGTCATCCCCTCTCCCTCTTTCCTTCTCTCCCCCAGATCTTTTTATCACTGGCCATGACATCGTATGGTATGGGATATCCCTTTGGCCAGTTGTGCTTAGCTGTCCTTTGTCCTCTCCCAACCTCTTGTGCATCCCCAGCCCACTTGCCTGCAGGGCAGTGTGAGAAACAGACAAGGCCTGGATGATGTGTAAGCACTTTTCAGCAGTAGCTGAAACATCACTGTGTTTGTGTCATCACAAATCCAGAACACAGCACCATACCATCTACTATGAAGTAGGTGAACTTCATCCCAGCCAAATCCAGTTCATTAAGATATGAAACAAATTGATGCATAACTTCATTTGTTTATCACTTTTCTGTGTAAAGAATGTACAATAAGTATTAGATTTTTGACTGATGCAGCTTGATAGTTTATGGGCAGTAATCTAAAACCTGTTGAGCACAGATAATTGGCTTGTGCATGAGTTGGAATTTTTTGTATGTATTAAAAAAAAGATCCATGATCTTGCTTGTTTTAAAGCTATATATTAATGTAGGTAGGGGTAGTTTGACCTTTGTGGCTTTGGGCATCCAGTTTTCAATGCATACTCTCCCACTTGGGCAAACATAGACTCTTCTGGGCAATCCCATGCCAAGTGTGCCCTCTGGTAACCTGCTGCAGCGAGCTGGGGCATAGAGGTGAGGGCAGGAGGGGAAGCTTCTGCTGCCTGCTCTAGGTCATCATGCTGCAAGGACACTGGCAGTTTTTTGCACTTGGAGTTACATGCTGCAATTTGGGGAGGAAGTCAGACCGAGTAAAAATACCTGTCATATTGAATTAGACCTCATTGGTCTAGATCTGTTGCTAAGGTTTCCCTCTCCTCTGTTCTCGTTTTTTAAACAAGACATACGTATCAGTAGAAATTGTTGTTTTGGGTATTAAGTTTATGATAAATATGCTTAAAACGAATTATCTTACACATTATCACCAAAGCAGCTCAGAAGTTTCAAATTCACAAAGAGGCAGCAAGAATCCTCACAGTTGAAGTTTTATGTTGGATGTTCAGTCTCAGAGTTGAAGTGTCTGAGGTTTCTTGGAAAGGTTGCTCTGTTCTCTGTGCTGTAGGGAAGGCATTGGCCCCAGCTGTGTTTCTTGGATGTGGTTATGTTTCTCTCTGAACTGTGGCACACTGGCAGATTCCTTTCCTCTATGAATTCTATAAGAGGGAGATTTTGTTGTCTTTTGAGATAATAAAATGCAATCAGAAGTAGAATTTTGTTAGCTATCTTAAACTAAACATTGAAGTTAGTTACTGTTTTCTTCTTGTGGTTTATATTCAACAATATTAGCCATAATTCTCCTTTATATATTTGTACATTGGAGAATTCTTAACCTCTGGGACCCTTGGAAGCTTGTTGCTTATATAGTTATGCCTAAAATAACTGTGCAGTCAGATCTGTATTGATGATGATGCAGTAAAACTGGCTGACTCACCCATTTAGTAGATAGTACAGGCTTTCGATTTCAACAAAGGCTGTTAATGGTGTGGGTGTTTTGTCTTTTACAGTCTTCTGACTTACCTTCTTAACAGCATTGGTGGAAAGTTTTTCTTAAGCTAAAATATTTTTTTGTGTTTTTGTCTTCATTACCCACACAAAAGTTTAAAAATCTGCCTAAACAGACAGAATACAAATGTCTGTTTTGTTGTACTGGATTCTGCCTTTCTTTGTTTAGTGGTAAAGGGACCAGAGTTTTTAGACCAACTAAAATTGGAGCGTTCTTGATACAAATCTTCCTGTCCTTAGTATTTGATCATCCAACATGGCAAAATCTTGCTTGCTTAAAACTAAATTTAGACAAATTTGAGGCATGCCATTTAAAGTTCTTTTGATCGAAGTAACCATTACATCAGTTAATGAGAAACTTGAAAGAAATCCTTCAAAAAATCTTGAAGTCTTACTGATGCTACTGCTTCAGATTTCATGCTAGTGCATCTAGGTGGAAGTCAGTGCTTGGCTTTTCTACTAACTACAGTGATGCTTTGTCCTGGTTGTGGTTTCATCTAGGGTAGCGTTAATTTTCTTCCTAGTATTTGGTATAATGTAGTTTGGATTTAATATGGGAATAATGTTGACATTCAAGACCTGCCTGGACGCGTTCCTGTGTGACCTAGTCTAGGTGATCCTGCTCTGATGGAGGATTGGACTAGATGATCTTTCGAGGTCCCTTCGAACTCCTAATACTCTGTGTGATTCTGTGTAACACACTGATGTTTTAGTTGTTGCTAAGTAGTGTTTATACTAACTCAAGGACTTTTCAGCTTCCAGTGCTCTGCTGGTGAGGAGGTGAACAAGAAGCTGGGAGGGAGCATAGCCAGGACAGGTAATCCAAACTGGCTAAAGGGATATCCTATACCATACAACATTGTGCTCAGTATATAAACTGGGGAGAGTTGCCTGGGATACTGGGATTGCTTCTCAGGACTGGCAGGGTTCCAGTCAGTGGGTGGTAAACAGTGACACTGTGCATCACTCGTTTTGTATATTCTTCTATTACTATTATCATGATTACTATTATTATTTCTTCCTTTACTGTCCTATTAAACTGTCTCTATCTCAACCCACAAGTTTTTTCACTTTTGTTCTTCTCATTCTCCTCCCAATCCTGCCTGGAGGCAGGAAGGAGTGAGCAAGCAGCTGCGTGGTGCTTAGGTGCTGTCTGAGGTTAAACCACGACATGGTTATTGAAGGTCCCAATGATGGTGGTGGTTGAGGACTGCACATCTACTTCTGAATGCCTGTGCATAATTACCCTTTACATAGGCTTTTAAATTCACATCAAATTCTGTATCTTTAGATGATAAAATTTGAGATGTTTTTTATTTAAGACTAATATATTAACTCTTATAAGACAACTGAGAATTGGGTCTGTCTCTGAATCCCTGTTTTCTCAGGTGTTTAAGGTATTTTGTAAGCTTGTGGTTTTTCTGAATGACACAATTGAGAGCTATCAGTGTCTCCTTAATTTTCTTCTGTTTTCTTGTAAAGAGGTGAGTAGCCAAGGTCCTTGTGCTTATTTTCACTTCGGAGGCCACTTCAGCTTTTGCTTTGGTCGCTTTGGGAGTGTTGGCGGGGTCTGCATTATTATGGGCTCAGGTGTTTTGTTGCCACAGGTGAATTTCCATGTACTGTCATTCCCTGTTCAAATGAGCTTATGTTGCTACTGACTGATCCTGCAATTGATTTAAACCAAACCACAATCCACCATTATGGAAAGGAAGAGATTTTACTTATGTATAGAAATACTGTTTATCATAAAATTGTGCATATGTGGTTCTTGTGATGTGTTACACATCGTCTTATGCCAGTTAGTAAAACATCTGGACACATATATGTGGGGTTCTGAAGGGTTGGAGATAGCCTGCTGTCCCATACTTTCCTTCTGTAGCTACCTAATATGTACAAGATGGGGCTTTTTTTGTCTTTGGAGCAGTAATAATTAGTTAAATAAAGCTAAATGTTAAATTTTGCAATGAGTTCTTAGGGTCTTAGGTCTCTGTACCCACTGGAGAAAGTTTTTTTGTCAAGTGGATATAGAGGGCTTTCATGCCCTCACTCTTTCATTCTATAAAACTAGAAATGCAAATTGGCTCTCTTGAAATAGGTATGGAGAAGCTGAGATATGACAAATTTGATTGAATAATTTGTTCTAGTAAAGTGCAGAGAGGCCCTGTTGAAGGATCAATGATATGTTGTAGCAGTTAACAGTGTAGATGTTAATTTGCCCTGAGTCCTAGATGTAGTCGGTCAGAATTAATGTGGCACAGGTGGTGTTACACCTGTTTCCAATTTGTAGTTTGATTACATCTTCTGTTATAACTTTCCATAGTGTCAAAAATGGAAGTAAATACAGAGAAATAAGATACCAATTTCTACTACTTCATGGTTCTTTCTGTAGAACTCATTCAATATCTGCCATTAAAAAAAATATATAATTCATTGGTGGGGAAAGGAAAACAACCACCAGCAATCCTTTTTGATTGTGTTTTTCCTTGCCTATGCTATATTTATGTGAAAAATCTTTTTTCACTTAAAGCAGGCAAATCAACAGGCTGGGAAGATGGTGGCTGGGGAGCCTGGGATGAAGCAGAATTACAAGAACCTGTAAGTTCCTATCTGTCTCTAACGAGTTTTCATTGCTATGTTTCCACTTGTTTGTGTGTGTTGTGGTTTGTTTGTTTTTTTTCCTATATAGTTATCACCTGGACAAGAAGGATCTTGACTGGTGTTTTAAATGTGACTGCTTGTTTCTCCCTTGCTTCTGTAATTGTTTCTAAATGTAGCTTGGATGTTACCTATTGTGATAATGACTCAAATTCTTGTATTCTGTAGGTTTTTTTCTCACTAAAGTATGAACACATTTTTCTGTGCTGCTTCAGTTGAGGGCATCTTTTGTTTGTTCCATAGCTAGCCAGAGACACTAAGTAGGGCACAGCAGTGAAGTTATAATAATCTACCGTGAGTGTATATAAATCAAACACTCCTGAGTCACAGACCACTGACACAAGGATCTTTCTAATGATCAGGTAGTGCTCCTTTTATGTTGTGATGTGTGGATGGTGTTACAGGAGGTATCGAATTACATAGGTAGGCTGGGGCACCCAGTTGCTCTTTAAAGGGGGAAAAACATCCCTCTGCCCAACTAGTTCAACTAAGAATAACACTGCTGGTCTATAATTGTTGGTAAGGCTGAGACTTCCAGCTGCCTTGCATAAAATGTTAGGGAAGCTGCCTGTGTAGAAGTCCTCTGCACCGGAATGGATGATCTGAACATAACAGAGCTGCTTGATTAGTTGCCTGTTGGAGAGAGCTAAGAGACTGAGGAATCCAGACCTCACCTTCCTAACAAAACTCTCTTATCTGCTGTATTTATCTCAGTATGCAAAAGTATGCCCAAGATGTTGGGCAGTATTCTTGTAACTACTTATTTCAGCAGGGAAACAGATTTTTTCAGCTGAGGTGAGACACAATTTGAAATGAGGATGGTATCTCCAGGGATGAATCATCAATGCTGATGTCAGGGAATAACGAGAGTATAAAAACGTTAAAATAGGATCGATATTCAGGTCCTCTATAATTGCCATGAAGTGAGTGTGTTTCTCAAGCCTTTGTAAGATGTGCTGTAAAGTTTATAACCTCCTTAATGAAGAGAATAAATGCTTTGTTTACTACTTAGGTTGTAATTTTGTAGAACCAGCAGGTGTTGCTAAATTGAAATTGCCTTCTTTTTCACTCTTTAAAATGTCAGGCTTTTCTGTGAGATAGTTCACACCCTTCTAGCTAAAGACCTCCTTCTCCTCTGCTTATTTGTTTTCCTCCAAAGTTGCTGGCAGTTCCAGGTTAAACTATTCAGAAAGCAAGAACTGACATCCACAGCAAATGGGTTGTTCTGTGTAGAAGCTTATAAATATGTAAGTCTGTATGTCTGAGCACACACCAAAATGAGTGCATCAGTCTAGCACAGAGTTAAGAATTATTAGTATAATATAACAATGAATTCCTTTTTTACAACTTTTAACTGTTGGTTGATTTGCTTTATAGTTGGTGTAAAATGCATATTTTCTTGGAATTACTCAGGTCACTTGAACAAATGTCTATTTCATGGAACATAACTTTTGAGAAGGCATTGAAAATTAAAAAAAAAAATATTTTTTTTTTAAGTTTTCTCTTTTTCCATGAAGTGTCTTTTTATGGAACTGAATAGCTATTTTGTAGGGATGATGATGCTGAAATCCTGTCCTAGATACTTATTTTAATCATTCTGTCTTTCACCTTTTAAAGTATTTTCTTTTGAGAAGTTCAGTGCTTTTCCTGTTTCAACTCTTAGCTTATTTTTGTCATTAACATGAGATGACTATATTTTATGTCTTTAGATTTCAAGTTCTTTGTGCGTGCAGATATCTCAGCAAATTTAAATGAAATTATAATTTTAATTCCTCTTAATCCTTACAGAAGTCTTTTATTTTTGTTTCTTTTTCCTCATTTGAAAATAATTACATTAAAAATTACTAGAAAGGATTTTCTTTCGGTTTTGGTTATGTGATTTTACATATGACATGTTCATATCTGTCATGAGGAGCTAAAATTTTCACGAGTATCCCATTTAACTTCATCATGGCTTTATAAAGTTTTGAAAAATGTCAGTAACTTGGAAAAATGTGTTGCTATAGAGGTTGGTATTCACTGGCAGACAAAAATGACATGAAAATAGGATGCTGTCTTGCACAAAGCAAGCAATAGTGTGGACAAAGATAGGTAACTGAACATTTATACTGTGCTAATGGAGACTTTATGATGGACACACAGCATACACTTGCGTGCATAAAGTGACTCTCTTTATGGTACAACCGTATGAAAGGAAATAAATGAAATAAATAGCTCATTATAAGTATGGTATGGAAATTCTTCCTTAAGTGTTTTGGCTTTTTTTGCTGCCTAGATTAGATGTGTTTATTTTCAAGTACATGCAACTTCATTACAACAGAATAAATGACATGGATCAGAAAATTATCACACTGAAGTTGGGCTTTTTGTTTGTGTGTAGCTGCTTTGAGATGCTAGAGGATGGAGTAGTATTTTGGAGGGCTAGGAAGAGGTACGATTGGATATGTGGCTATGGAAATGGAGTCTGTGGCAAGGGAAAGTGATTTTATTGCAGTGTTCAAGGTAATAGGATGGAACTAAGAAAGCAGGAGTAACATTTCAGAGAGATCTTATAGCAGTCTGCTCAAACTCCGTTACCTACTTTCTGCTGTTGAAGTGTGATTAGCAAGAGCTACCCATGTTTGTTCTTGTCAAATATGACTTGTTGCTCACAGGAAACATTGCTTTTGTACCTAATGAACCTATCTAACGTACCCACTGTTAAACCCTTAAAATTTGGCACTTCTTAGTTTGAATTTGTTTCTTTGTAAAGTTCCTTGTGGAAAGGCACATAATGATACCCTGCCAGCTTAGTTCCTTTCTTCATCTGCGCATATATTTACTCAATGCTGGTCAGCGTATAGGCTTGGATAAATTGTTTATTTTGAGTATGGATTATAATGAGAATAACTAAAGAGATCCTTTCCAGTCTTTAATCAATAATAATAAAACATTAAGTATCAGTCTTTTAGTGTTTCTTTGGTGAAAGAAGATTTTGAAGAGTAAAATTAGTAATGAGTACTTCTTTATTTTCTGGTTTGTAAATGCACAGAATAAGTGCAAAGTTGATGTATTTCTCATGGCTTTTCATGCCAGTTGGAGCTCCAGTGACTTAATAGGTAATAGTCCATTTAGTGCTGGTATTGCAGGCAGATCAAAATGTTGTCATTTATAATATTGCAAGTTCTGCTGCATTTAAAAATTGTTGCATACATTGATGAAAGCTTTACCTGTAGGAAGAAGAGGAATCTACTTCCAAGAACCAGAGAAATTACTGGCTTCAGGACTGTGTGTTGTCCTTGTCACCAACAAACGACCTGATGGTAATAGCTAATGAACAGAAAGCAGTATTTTTAGTGTGTAAGTATACATTCCTCTAAGTATATATGCTGGTACACTTAATAGTAATCAGGACAAGATTGTTTCCCCCACTCCCATCTGCTTACCCTCGAAGTTGTACCTTCAAAAATTTTTTAGTGTCTTATAGTATACATAATGCATTTTGTAGGTGCTGCTTGCCAAGTGAGTTCTCTCCTTACTTCTCAGCTATATTTTGATCTGAGAAACCTATTTAATCATGTATAATTAATTTAATATATACTGTAACTATGCAGTTGTTTGAGATGCTCGGAGATATTGACATTGTTTTCAATAAGAAAACCAAAATTTTTGTATTAATTTAGCCATTAAGAAATATTTGACCTTATTTTAATTTTCCCTTGCAAAAAAAGAGCTAATGAGCCAGTGTCACTTAGAGGAGGAAGTACTGAGGTGGATTGTTTTTCAGATATCTACCTTTGATAGAGTATCTTTCTCCTTGAAGAATGGATGGCTTTATATTTTACTCTAAAGCAGGGTGCTCAGAACTTTTTAAGGTACCCTTAGTAAGATATGAACACGGATCAGCCAGCTGCTCTTTACATATGTGCTGTTGCCTAGGGTGCTGGTGCTATAAACAGCTGCAGTTGGTGGCATGTGAGTGTGATGAAGTGAAACCTCCCGACATGGGGAATATTGTACCATTTTAAAACAAACAGGCTGTTGAAGCTCAGAGTTGCATAACTGGGCAGATTGCATTGAGTTATCCTGCTACATTTGTCACTTCCTGACAAGCTGTGTGTGCCAAAACTGATGTAGTTTAGTTGATAGTTTTTCACCAAAAATGAAAAGATAGCAGTACTCCTCAGAAAGTTCTTATCAAGAATAAGGAGGTGATTTAGCTCACCTACTAGAGAACTGCTTCTGCTGAATGGCACAATGGCAGAAATGTCCTTGTGTCTCAGGTTTTAGGTGTCAGACAGATGACACACAACACTAATTTTATTTTATTTTATTTGTTCCTTGGCACCTGAGAGATGATTCAACAATCAAACGTCGGCTGTTATAGCACCTTGTGAATAACTGAATGTAGTGTTTTCTAACCTTGATTATGATGCAATGATTAAAAATTGTGAGATGTAATGTAGGATTCCCATTTTGTTCTTGGTGGTTAAAATTAAAATTTTCCTCTTTGATTAGGCTCATCTTCAGTAATCTTTCCAGAATAAGTTTGCCCTTTCTTAGTACTTTTCTCCTAAAAATCCTCATTTCATTAACTGAACCTTTTAAAATTTGATGAAGTAGATATTACTGTATAAATATTTTTAAATGAGTAATTTCAGAATTTTAGTAGTATGTTGTTCCATGTAAATTTCTAAGAAAACATAAGAATTCTTTAGAAAAGTCACTAAAAATTTAGTGTTCTTTTTGTGGTCTTCGAAGTCTGTAATTCATACTTAATCTAGGTGTGGTGGGATGTATTTTACAGAGGACAAGGATTAGGACTAGAGCTACATCTGTGAGATGCAAAACACTACAGTTTTATAGATGGTGTCTTTATTCTTAATGGCAGCTAAATGGAAGCACAGTGACAAGGGAAAAGAAGAAATGCAATATGCTGTTGGCTGGAGTGGCTCTCTGAATGTTGAAGAAGGGTAGGTGTTGCAATGCAGCTGTGATTAAAATGTCATTTTCACATTTAATAATTTGTATATGCTTTTTACTTGCGCTTTAAAAAAATATTCATGGTCTTACACATTTTAATATTGGAAACAGAAATGGAGCAACCTGGGTGATCAAACATTGTCCGCAAAGGTCACTCTTCATGCATAATATGATATCTCAGGACAAGTTCATCCAAATTAACAGAGGTACTTTTTGTGCAAATCAGTGTATCTGCATGTAGTTTAGACATTTTAATAGATCTAGCTCATCATGCTTTTTATAAATTCCTGTTCTAGATGGAAAAAAACCTACCCTTTTTGAAAAATTTACTTTTATAATAGAGATGAATTTTTTTTAGGGGATGTTGTGACTGGAAATGTATGAACTTGTTTTAGAAATACTTATTTTCATTTTTAAAACTTCAAGCAAAACAGGCTTGAAGTACAGTAGGCCGCAAAGACTGTCACTCCTTGCGTGCTTGTAGCCGACCAGAGTGCTGCCGACCA